GGTATTTTTTAGTGCCAATCCTGCTTCCCCAAATACTCCCGACACAACAGTCCAACGGATTGGTATCCGAAAATTTTGGTGGCCATTGTGCGCTGGAAATGAAGCGAGAAACCTTATTTTGCGAAAATTCTTGGGTGGCGCATGCTGAGTGCGATGGTGCTGAGTCCTGTTGGAACGTCCAAGGTCTGCGGACAAAATATTTGTGTGTCTAAGGCTTTAATACGCCCTCCTGAATTTTTTTGCGATAATATTCGACATTTATTCTGATGCCACTGTCGATTAATACGAGCGGAGAGCGACCATCGGCTGTTATAGCAGCCCACACCATCCCCATCGCCGGCGCTTGAGTTCCAGCCGAAGTTGGCCAACCGAAGTGCACATTTTCAGCTTTGGCAAGTAAACACGACCATTTTGTTTGTTTACAAACTGCTGGAAAGCGAATGTTTTCTCATCGGAGCGGAGAAAACCAAATTCGGCAGTTCACCACTTTCGGCCAAGCGAAGCAACTCCGTAGCTCTCTTGAGTCTATTTTCTTTACGTTGCGGTGTAAGTTCTTGCACTTTCTGGAATTTCAAGGGCTTTACCCCGAGCTAATTTTTCAATATTTGCCGAATGGAATACTGCGATATGTTTAGCTTACGAGTCATTTTTCGGCCACTGCGACGCGGGTTTCGATCAAGTCGTTTCTTTACTTTTCAAACCATTTCTGCTGATGTTGCTGTTTTCTTCCGTCCACTTCCTTGACGTCGGGCTACGCTACCAGCATCACGGGAACGAGCGAAGACACAAAAGATTTATTCACATTTAAATGCTGGAGTGCTCAACCGATGGCCACTTGTGGGTTTCCAGCCAAATATAAAGAAATCACACTATCACGCTTGAATTCCATCACAAATAACATATTTTCTGGAAAATTCTCATCAAAATGCTTTGGATCGCTTGTAAATAATATAATGAGCTGTCACTGGAATAATATTAACAGCTGTCGGATGAGTATCTTATAAATAACAGCAGTCTTAATTTTATTGCAAGTTTTTCATCACACCCTGTATATACAAAACCACCTCCAAATCTCAACCCCAGCAGTGATCCTGCGTCGTTTTAAAGGTCGAAATCGTCACACCCCAATTCTACATCCCAAATGTCTTAAACTTCCTCAATCTTGCAACCCCATAGAAATCGTAAATATCAGAATATCGGAATTATACCAATTTTGGTACCATTTACACTTTTCGTGCACATAAGTACAAATTTCGAAAAACATCCCATATCCCAATGGAGCTGATAATGTTAATTTCAAATTTAAGGATTCCAGCTCATCAAAATTCGAATTGTACTAAATTTAGTACATATACGTACAAATTGCCAAACCTACCCCATATCCCAATTCTACACTCCGACATTAATCTTATTAACAAATTTCAGGATATCAGCTCCATTGGTTCATCCAAATCCAAACTGTGCCAAATTTAGTACCATTTAGTACACATAAGTACAAATTTCCAAAACTACCTAGATACCATGGTACAATGAAGAGAAGGTAGGTCAACTTTGAAAAAATTGCAAGTATAGAGGTCTACCTGTTTGGCTTGTAATGTCAGAAATAGTATCAAAACAATAACAAAATCAAAGAACTTGTTGCATTTATTTTGAATAAATAATTGAAAACCGCGAAAACTGAATGAAAGGTCAACACTTCTTTTCAAAACCAGGTTCTGTATATCTCTAAAGGATTATCTCGCTACAAAAACTCTAGATTTTGTCGATGCATACGATGAAATAAACATTTTGAAAACATCCGAATTTGAATGTTTTCTGAACAATTTTTTTGTTATTGAAAAGAAAACACATACATAAACAAATAAAGATGACATATTAAGCCAAGAAAATAAAAAATTGAAATCATATGGTATCATAGCCCTACCTTGATATCATTGTACCATGCTAGATACCATGGTACAATGAAGAGAAGGTAGGTCAACTTTGAAAAAATTGCAAGTATAGAGGTCCACCTGTTTGGCTTGTAATGTCAGAAATAGTATCAAAACAATAACAAAATCAAAGAACTTGTTGCATTTATTTTGAATAAATAATTGAAAACCGCGAAAACTGAATGAAAGGTCAACACTTCTTTTCAAAACCAGGTTCTGTATATCTCTAAAGGATTATTTCGCTACAAAAACTCTAGATTTTGTCGATGCATACGATGAAATAAACATTTTGAAAACATCCGAATTTGAATGTTTTCTGAACATTTTTTTTGTTATTGAAAAGAAAACACATACATAAACAAATAAAGATGACATATTAAGCCAAGAAAATAAAAAAAATTGAAATCATATGGTATCATAGCCCTACCTTGATATCATTGTACCATGCTAGATACCTCACTCCCACAATGAAATAGTAATTTTATTTCCAAATTTCAGGATTCCAATCCTATTGGTCCCCCCAAAATTTAAATTGTACCAATAGTACAAAAAGGTACAAATTTCCAAAGTTCCTAGAATGCAATAGTAATCTTATTTCCAAATTTCAGCATTCCAACTCTCTCGGTTTATCCTAATCGAAATTGTACCAAATTTAGTACCATTTAGTTCTTTCGTGCACACGAGTACAAATCTGGAAAATTACATTCATATCCCAATCCTTCTCTCAGCCAGGAATGTTAATTTAAAATTTTAGGATTCCACTCCATGTGTTCCTCAAAATTCAAATTGAACCAAAATTAAGTACCGTTTAGTACTTTTCGTATACATGAGTAACACACTTCCAAAACTACCACCTTACATGGACCCTACACCTCAACCTTGATCCCCATTGCAAATTTTAAGTTTTTAGCTCAAACCGTTCACATGATACGAAATGGTACCAAATTTAGTACATTTTAGTACTTTTTGTACACTTATAACGTGAATTTGCAAAATTCCAAATTTCTTTGGTACATCTATCATACATTCCATCAGTGACCCTCATTCTAAATTGTTGTGTTCTACCTCTACTGGCTCCTCAAATACAAAGAGGTACCATATTTAGTACCCTTTCGTGCATGATCAAGCAAGCTCGTCTAAAACTTTTTTATTCCCTTCTCAGCCGAACCTGGCCTTCCACATTAAATTTCCACCAATTGGAAATGTCTACATTTCTCAGGGGAAATTTGAAAACTATAATTTGCTGAGAGCCTACATTAGTTCGCATACCACGCGTTAATGTTCTGTAAAACGTTCTGTAACAGGTATTTATAATTAAATTTGAAAATAAAAGATTCAATTAAAGGTGGAAATTAAATCTACCATTCCCGCAGGAGAACTGAGCGGGAAAAGAGCCTCCCGAAAATTGAGTTCCTCCTTTAAATGACACGCCAACTGTTATTTAAAATGAACTCCAGTCAACACCTCTTCTTCACGGTGAGTGTGGGTTGTGCGGGGGGGCGCGTGTGTGTGTGTGTGTGTGTGTGCCTGTGTATTCCATGGTTCGAGTTTGGGATTTCAACTTAATTTAGTATTCAATTAAATATTCACATAATTATGTTTTAACAACGTAAACGTTGTTGTTCTTACATGAATATCACAACGTCGTAACAGGCAATATTTAAATTAACCACCGAAACGTGTGAGGAATTACAAAAACGCCAAAAATGTTCAACTCTGGCCCTGCCGAGTTGTAGGGGGTTTTTTCGAATTCAATAATGGTCATAAATAATTATTATACCCTCCACCATAGTATGGAGGCTATATTAAGTTTGTCATTCCGTTTGTAACACCTCGAAATAGATCCCACATCAGCATAAAATTCGAATTGAGGTAGATTGATAAAATTTGACTCAAATGTATGTTATGTCTGTAGGACTTTTGGTATTGAAAATGGGCCATGTGGGTCCACGTTTTGGTATAGCCCCCATATAACGGTTCCTCACGATATTCGGTATTTTGATGATTTTAGCGACATTATTCAACGGAATTGTTTAAAAATTGATATTTGAAGTTCGTAATGGATACTACAGCCTAAGACAGAAAATGGGTCATGTAGGTCTACATCTTCGTATAGCTCCCATATAACGGTACCTCCCGATATTCCGTATTATGATGATTTTAGTGACATTATTCACCAGAATTGTTTCGAAATTGGTATTTGAAGTTCGTAATGGATACTACAGCATAAGACAGAAAATGGGCCATGCAGATCCAATTTTTCGTATAGCCCCCATATAACGGTACCCCCCAATTTTCGGTATTTTGATGGTTTTAGCGACATTATATAGCGAAACTATTTCAAATTCGGTTTTTGAAGTTCGTAATGAATACTACAGCCTATGACAGAAAATTGTCTGTACAGGTCCACGTTTTATAACCCCCGTGGTACCTACCTATATTCGGTAATTTGATGATTTTAGCAACATTATTTACCGGAACTATTTTATATTTGGTATTTGAAGTTCGTAATGAATACTACTATGGCAGAAAATTGTCTGTGCGGGTCCATGTTTTATAACCCCATGGTACCTCCCTATATTCGGTAATTTGATGATTTCTACATTATAAACATATTTTTTTTAAGTTTCGCATTTGGTCCACTGGTCCACGTCGTCGTATAGACCCTAATATACGTCTATGTTCGGTATTTTTAAGATTTTAACAGATTTAACAGATTAACGGATTTTATATTTTTTGAAAATTGCCAAATTTGTTCCAAATGGTGGAGGGCATTTAAAGTTCGGCCCGGCCCAGCTTACAGCTTTTTTACTTGTTTAGTTTCTCCTATTGCTGAAAAAATGTGAGTTTTTTTTAATGAAAGCTTCCTGTGTTGTTGGTTGACCCCCCACCCCAACTAACCACCCTGTGTCGAATTTTCTGGTAACCTTTGGTAACGTTTTTAAATTTTTAATTTTCTTTTTTTTTGTACTTTTTATTTATTGTCAATTATTTATTTTTGATTTTTGAAAAATAATTTGTTTGCCTTAACTCATTGTATTGGAATATTTTCCCTTCGACAACAAAAAGATTGAAAATCTTTTGTCCCAATCCAAATGTCCCATTGTGGTTGGTGGCACCAATTACTACATTGAATCATTACTGTGGGATATTCTGGTAAGTCCAACAGCCGGCGAAGATGTTTCATCCAAATCACCATCACCACAAAAAGTTGCTGCTGCCGCCAACGATGCTTCAGCCCTTAAGGATAATGGATCCACTTCAACTTCTGTGGCTGCTGCTGCCACCAATGCTGAAACTGTCGCCCTCAAGTCTGGGAATTTACAAAATGTATGTTTTCATTTTTTTTTTTATTTGTTGTTTAATATTCTTGAATTTTTTTTTTTTTTTTTTTTTTTTTTGGACAAAAACGAAAGTCAAATCTGTAGTTCTGCGTTGTTTTTGCTCTTACCACACAAATGTTTCTCCCTTTTGTTTTCATTTCAGACTCCATTTATAGACCCTGCCGAATATTCGATTTTGTCATCGGTATTGCTGCACAACCATTTAAAGATGATTGATCCCGAAACGGCCAATCGTATCCATCCGAATAATAAACGTAAAATAATGAGGTAAGACGATACATTTTTGGTTGACTTTTGTTTTCCTTTTTTTCATAAAAAAAAGAAAAAAATAAATTCCTTGGGAGTTCAATGTCACCAATGATGATGATGCAAAAAAAAACTTGGTGAAACAGAACAGTGGTTATACGTTGAAAAAAATCTGAAATGATGGATAGCTCCTCAACTGAGATATCAACACGATTAAAAATATCCTCTTATTAAAGTTAGGGGAGGTATCGAAGGATTGGACCTATATTGTCTATTTTGCATGTGTCATAAATATTGCGTAGTGTCATATTTGGACTATATCGACTATATGTCCTCTCTCACTTTATATGAGATATGTGTGTGTACACATACTTTTTGCAAATGCTGAACTCTTTTGGGGGAGTTACCAAAAATAGTGGACTGGCATATCCCATATTTACATTAGATGATTGAAGAAAATCACTGACTTTTTTCGCATTTATAAGGGTAATATTTGTTTAATATTTTGGGGGTGATAAGCACGATGAAGTGGGCCGATATTGTTCATTCTCACACCTGACAAAGCACTGATACAATTTTTAAAGTTTTCCAAGTTTTCGGGTGATCCTTTCTTGTTGTTTGTATCTTTTGGGGGAGGTACCAGAGGGAGTGAACCAATATTGCTCATTTCCGAACTCGTTCTAAGTTTGATAATAATATTACGATGTATCAAGCTCGAACCTAATCGGACACTCCCTTCGGAAGTTATTGGACAGACAGACACCGCTAGATCGAATACAAATGTCCTGAAGCGACTTTGGTCTAAAGATACTTTGGGTGTATTATCGGTTTTCCCTGAGGCACACTTTGGCCGCATCAAATGATATATACCATCTTCAGCCATATGACCGAGGGCATACTTTGAAGACCATTCTTCTTTTCCCAAATAAAGTATTTGGTCACCCCTACTATATACATTGTCCGGAAAACCATTTAATCTTCTCTTTATACAACAATAAGTCTTCCCACAGAAGACCACATGGATCATCTCATAAAAGACCAGAAGGACCTTTTCATAGAATGCCAGAAATTCTTTTTATAGAAGGACCTTTTCCTAGAATACCAGAAGTACCTTCTCAATGAAGGCATGAAGGTCTTCTCATAGAAGACCAAAAGGTCTCCTCGTAGAAAACCAGAAGTTCTGGCCGTCTACGAGGAGCCAGAAGTTCTCCTCATAGAAGACCAGAAGATCTTCTCATAGGTGACCAGCACGTCTTCTCACAAAAAATCAGATGGTCCAGAAGGTCTCCTCGAAGAAGATCTGCAGAGTTGACAGTCTCCTCGTAGAAGAGCAAACGGTCTTCTCGTAGAATAGGAGAAGGTCTACTTATAGAAGAGCAGTATTTAATGGGTCTGGGTTTATTCCCAAACCATTATTATTCTGGCACAATATACGGCTTGTGGTCTCAGCCCCTAAACTTCCCTATGGCATTCCCACAAGAATAGAGCGCAATAAGACATTTTTTGAACGTTAGCAGAACGTTTGTCTTTATATATTTGTGACCCCCAGACTATACTCGTTTATTGGTAATGAGTTAAATATGTTCATTTGCCTTGCCCGTAATCACCAGATTCGGATGGATTGAAAGCTATGTGGACGAATTAATCCACATGGCTAAAGCAATACAGCTCAGCACAAGGATATAGGCAAGCGGACACATAGAACTGCCTTCAAGTTGAAGGCAAAATTGCATATAAAATCTCCGCAACAATTCTAAGGTTAAAAATATTATTATTCCAAAACACTTCTTACCCTCTTTTTCGACCGCCTGCTCATGGTTTATTGTAACCTGATATTAATAAGCTCTTCATCAAAACGTGTAATTGTTATAAAGCAAAGTGCAACAACACTAATCCTGAAAAAAAAACAGTTTACATGCTTAGCACCAGCCACCACTCTGACACCTGGTCAAACTGTCGGCATTCCCGACATTACAATTCTAAATTAAGTTCTTAATAATTTCCAGATTGTTAATATCCCAGACTTTAATTGCAATTAAATAAACACCAGGAAGCAACGGGCTGTCGTCCAATCAAGATTTTGAAGTTTTGGCCCATGGATAATTGGTAACTGCATATAAATGGTTTCTAATTTAAAAAGAAATGTTTTCAAAGTAACCAAAGCCACAAACAAAGTGAGCGCAAAAAAAAGTCCAGACATGCATTCGATCTTCATCAGAATGCCAGTAGGCCAGAACGGCACTGGCAGCCGCGTCACTTAAACGAGGGCTAGGGATAACGAGACACTCAACGAGCGAGCGAGCGATTCGTTTAGTGGTCGAAGTCTATTTCCGCATTGACCAGCACTTTTGGGGGTAGGGCGGCTGGGCTACATCAAAGTTGTATTTGCCGAAAAAGGCGTTGTAATATCGTTTAACTATTTCTTTGTTATTGTTTTTTTCTTTGGTTTCTTTCAATTTTTTAATATTTCATTTATGTTGATTTATATATTGTATTTACGAGCATAGGTGTGTCTGTGTGTGTAGGGGAGTTTCTCTTCGGTCTGATCTAGAAACACAATACCTGCCGCATATATAAGTAAATACACAAAACGCAAAGAAAGATACGCTACGCTACGCCACGGTACGGTACGGTGCGGTATGGACGTAGTCGAATTTACAATTTCTAGCCGATTAAATATGTATGATAGGTCTGAAACGGAACAATACAACAACAACAACAAGCAACCAACTGTCAGTCATCGAGGAAACGTGTTCACAATTAAACAGAAGTAAAAATTATTGCAACTTCTCACGTGCATTTATAAAATATATCAAAACCATATGTATATGCGTGTGTGTGTATGCGTGTGTGTGTGTGGACAATAATAGAGTGGGTCAAGATTTCGGAAGTTCAGATATGTAATTTATTGGTGTCCCTTTGGGCAACATACAATGGAGCCGTATAACCCATTACATTTAGAATCTCAAAAATACGGTTCTTAATTCTTGGAAGCATTTTGTTTTTTGGACCCGATTTTTATACTCTCCACCATAGTATGGAGGGTATATTAAGTTTGTCATTCCGTTTGTAACACCTCGAAATACACATTTTAGACCCCATTTTTATTCGATTTAGCGATGTTTGTCCGTCTGTAAAAATCACTCTAGCTTCCGAACGAATTGAAGTAGATTGATAACATTTCACTCAATATATGTTATGTCTGCAGGACTTTTGGTATTGAAAATGGGCCATGTAGGTCCATGTTTTGGTATAGCCCCCATATAACGCTACCTCGGTATTTTAATGATTTTAGCGACATTTTTCACCGTATTTGAAGTTCGTACTGGATAGTACAGCCTAAGACAAAAAATTGTATACGCAGGTCCACGTCTTCGTATAGCCCCCATATAACGGTACCTCCCGATTTCGGTATTTTGATGCTTTTATCTTCATTATTACTGATTATTTTTAAGTTACGCATTTGAGTATTGTAATGGCTTATGACAAATGTTACCTTTGCAGGTCCATGTCGTCCTACAGACCCTAATATGACAGCTACATTCGGCATTTTTAAGATTTTAACAGAATTTTTAACGGATGTAATTGTTTTTGAGAATTGCCAAATTCGTTCCAAGTGCTGGAGGGTATTCAAAATTCAGCCCGGCCGAATTTACAGCTTTTTTACTTGTTTTATGTAACTCGAATAAGAGCCCATTATGGGGGTGGGTTGGTGATGGTGTCCATAAAATATATATCAAACTTTCCAAAATGCTACAAAATGTGTTTTATCTTTCTGTTGAGTACATCAAATGATGCTATTTTATGTAGCCGGGGCTTTGAGATTTTTTCCTCTGGGTATGTCCAACTACAGCAACGTGAACCAAAGTTTTTTTTTTAATTTGATACGGAATCGGGTCGACCGGGCTAAAAGACCCATATCTCTGGATCCAGGAAAGATAATATCACATATTGGAGAATTTTGGATAGGTTGTAGAGTGCACTACAATTTGGCTCTTATTCTGGTCTTGGAGCTGGACTCTCGGTCAAATATAGGGTTATCGGGGTCTGTCCCCCAAGGAAAAAATACTTTCCCAGAATCCGGGAACAAAAACCTACCTCTGGGAAAAATTTAAAAACATCTCAGAGTTTTTCACTTAACTGGAGTTAAGCCGAAGTGACTGTTTCTCTTGGAAAATGGAAATTTTGGACTTTGGAAAATGGAAATTTGGACTTGGAAATGTAAAAACATTGTTTAATTAAGTTTTCCCACTGGCGACAGGCTCCCAACTTAAAATTAATCTCTTTTGAATATATCTAAAAGATTCCTCTCGGCTACTTCTGTGTAAAACTTGCTCTCTGTAATTTTAGAGTCCTTATTACAAGCTTTTTCCGGCAGTTGGCATATTAAAATGAAAAAGCTGTAACCAAATTCTGACTGCTGTCATTTCTAAGCCACTCGTCCGACAGCTGTTAAAATTATTCCAGGGGCAGCTCATTATATTGTTTACAAGCGCACAAAAACATTTTGGTGAGAATTTTCCAGAGTTATTCGTGGTGGAATATTTTTTAAAGCAAAGTAGTGTAACGGCAGGATTTCTCCCCTTCGTACAGATATTTTATTTATTGAGACAGAAAGAAAAAGACAGTGGTTTACGTGTTGATATTAAGTTTTTATTTATAGTGGAACTTGAACTATATATAAAATATAGATTATAACAACTATCCTCCTCGTCTTCGGCCCGGGATTGGTGGTTCTTCCACTCTGGATAAGTACTCAAGGAACCGGACAAGGATGCAGGATCAGGGTGTTCAGGATTCGTGATGGATTCAGTGCGAGAGACCTGGATAAGTACTCAAGCAGGCTACAGGATATTCAAGGATACGGCTGCAAGAGATCTTACGCTACAAGAATCTAGGATACGGCTGCAGGAGACCGTAATAAGTACTCAGGCGCCACAGGATATTCCAAGATACGGTTGCGAGAGACCTTAATAAGTACTCAAGCACTACAAGGATCTAGGATACGGTTGCACGAGACC